TATATAGCTTCTTTTCTCCTATGAGTAGACAAATTCCTAAGGAGCAAAGTACAAAACAGAGATTTACAGGCATACTTTTCACACAAAGCTGATGTTTGCAATTTACAAAAAGTACCTGCTGAAGGTATGGGGAGTGACATTATAAATTGTCCTGCATCTTCGGTATTTAACCTGTTTTTTTGTTCTGAAACTTAATTTTTAGTGCTATATCCCTTCTGCCCTAGTTAAGGGGAAGAAGCCATATGTTGCTAGTCTATTTTAATGATATATTTTACTAACAGTGAAATTAAATCATAGCATGTATATTATTTTGATCCCTGGACATAGCTTATGATAAGTGATGTTGTTCCATGTGTGCTTTTTCATGCATGCCTAGTAGCTGTTAGCCTCCTATTAACTGAATACCTGAGCTCTGTAGCTCCCTGCGAAGAGTCTGTGCTGTTTCAGATAACATATGAAAGCAAATCATCACCAAATAGACTACTTAGTCTACCCCACCTTTGCTGGCAATGGGAAGCAGTTAACCTTTCTAAAATTTGTAAAGCTGTTACTAACTTTTATTACCTGTTAGTAGATTAAAATGTATATTCCTTTGTCATAGCTTCATATTCTTGTCAAAGCTGATAGGAAAAAAAAAATTGCTAAGTTGTTGTAATCATTGCCAGTACCCTGACCGCTTTAATTTAGGGATAACTGATAGCATCATCTTCATTTGGTTACTTGTCTTCCAAGTTCTGATCTGGCTCACTTGTCAAGATAGAGCTGAAGAAAATGCTAAAGCATGACTGGATCTATAGAGTTCTCTGCAACAGACTGCAATTGCTTTTCAGTTTTGAATTCGAACTCCCATTGCCCCTTTTCCTCTGCCTTACTCTTGCCTTTCTTTGGAATATATGTGAGACCATTTGAGCAGACAGTTGAAGCATCAGATGCTCTGTCAGTAATGTTTGTCCTCTACTTGGCAATAGAGGTCACAAATACCTGAGCAAGAAGTTCCAGTTGTGTGCAGGTAAAGTTAAAATCTTGAGCATTCTGATCTCCTAAAAATACTTTTTTTAAAGAGTGTTAGGGGCTGGAGTCATGGTGTGACTAGTAAGTGTTGCAAGCAAAACATTATTCCTAATTTTTTTTACATCAATGCTGCCCATATTTGAAGCTTCAGTTGAACTGCAGTGTCTTTCTTGTCTTGTTCTTTGTACTAGGATTATTCCAGTGATGATACTAAACTAGAATACAATGTAGATGCAGCCAATGGTATTGTTATGGAAGGTTATCTATTTAAGCGAGCCAGCAATGCCTTCAAGACTTGGAACAGGTAATTATTCAGAACCTCTATTTACTAGCTTGTTAAGATACTGCTTGTTAAGCTGAATTCTGGTCTGACTTATAATGTAACTCACCAATTCCATGATTTTGACAGCATACTTGGATGATTCTGTTAATTAACATAGAGATGACACTTCAAAACCATTTTTCCTTATTTTCTGTCCTAGTTGTTTGCAAACCTTTTTCTAAGTGTGTATCTTAGTCTGGAGAAGTCCTACGTATGGAAAGCTTGCTTTTTGTGTGCAGTCTGTCTCTCCAATTGAATTTTGCCTTACTGTGGGGTTGCAACAGAGCAACCCCAATGAATGTATACAAAAGCTATGTAAATGTATATGCTGGAAAAATAAGTGTTAGAGGACAAAGTGAAATGGAAGTCGTATAGCTGTTGGAAACAGGGAAACACAGTGAAGGACTCAAGTTATTTTTCCTGAAATCGTTATCCTTTACAATTCCTGTCCTGTGCAGTGACCTCTACTTAGTAGTTTTGATGGTCCTGTTGGGAATTCAAAATATATTGTTAGTCCTGTCTCTTTAACAATATATATTTGACTATTGTTTAAATATTTTTCTCACGGAACAGGATTTCTTTTGCATTTCCAAGGATTTACGCTTTTTTCCAATGGAGTATTATGTATGCTGGAGCATTTACAGTATAGTTGGATATGGATCTTGAATTTTAAAGTTAATTTGTTGTGATACAGAGCTCTCTTTACTATCTTATGCTCTGTGATTTTTGCATCAGTGCTTCTGTTAAACTATCTGCTGTGTTTCAAAAGGCCAGAATGTGTGTTTGGATATGTGGTCCCTTCCAACCTTAATTATTCTATAGCTCTTTGAGCATCTTGGAACATCACAAGTTTATAACAAATGGGGATTGCCTCGCTTAAATCCACAGATTGATGCAAGGGCCACTGAAGTCAGTAAGACTGTATTAGTAAGTCATGTGCAACTAGTATAAGGGATTTTTCCTTTAGACTATTTCTAGTCTGGTCTTGTGGTCTGATTATCCATCTGTAATTGTAATGTACCTTCTAGGTTCATTTCATACAAATAGAATTCAGAGTTCTCCAAGACAAATCTGCGAGGCATCTAAGGACAGTGAAGGGAGAAAACCAATGGATATACTTCAAAAGCACCTTCCTGCTCTGAAGTAAAATGTTATTGTAAGCGCACTGAGAAAAATCTGCAGTAACAAGGCAGCAGATTGTCCTTTATTGGACTGTCAACAGGCTGAAAAGATCCTTTTTGCAAGGTGTTTTGCAGGGTGAACTGTAGCCTCTTGAAAAGTGACTGCAGACAAAACTCTGACTCCCTCTCTGGGTGGTACTTTTGGATGGCAATAAAGGCCTTGCTGTGTAGGGAGGTAACAGAAGGAGCAGGACGGGAGTGTTGGAAGGTAGCTGAGAAATACTCCTCTTCCACGTGGCTTCATACCTGTTAATACTGTACGTGTATCTTACCTTAAGGTGGTCAAGGAGTAGGATTCAATTAAAACTAACTTCTGTATGTTGAAATTTAAATGGACACAAAATAAATACAGGGAAGTCCTAATTAAATCACAATACGCAATGACATTCTTTCAGGTTAAGTTACATGTTTGATAATATAAATAAAACCATATTCAAATAATAAGTTATTTGAATGCAAAGATAAACAGCTCAGTAATGAGTCAGAACTACCTACTTTTACTATATAATTTATATTTGAGATATATATAATTTATATTTGACATATATAGTTTTTTCTTTGTCACATAAGTTCAATAAAGCTAAACCTTTAATGCTTTTAATCTTAAATTCTTGATAATTTGTCTCACTGTGATAGGCTAGTTGGATGCTTCAGAATTGGAGCATAGCATTGGATGTGCTATCTGTAAACACAGTTTAAAAATGGAATCAATCACTTTAATTTTGTACTTCACATATTCACAAACTTGCTAACTGTTAAACTACTACTATCATACACAAAATATGTGTAAAACCTTCTTAATGGAGACAACTATTACTAGTTTTTAATCTAGCCCAATTTTTCATGTTTTAATAAAAATAGAGAAGTATTTTTATCTTATTTTTATTTCTGACTACATTTTGTAATTCCTTGCTATGTTGTAGGGACTGAAGTGGTCATTGCCACTTTCCACTGCCTGTTTCCATTAATGGAATGCTTTTCTTACTTATGTAGGATTGCAGCTTCAGGGAGATAATACTCATTAAAGTTTACCATATATTAGAGGTGAGAGTGTATTTCCAGTCACTATGTAGAGTACAAGAAAAGACCGTGTCATTGCATTGAACTTTGTGCATGAAAATGTACAATGAAATACCAAAAGGGGAAACATTTGGAGAATTACATATTTTATATGAGGGAATTCAGAGCTGAAGTCAGAGACCCCAAGACAGACAAGGTATTTTCAGTGTTCTATGCAGATAGGTAGTTTGCTGCTTCATTATATTCCCATCTTTGGGGGAGCTGGGTGAAAATTCAAGCAGCTGAAACAAAACCAAAAGAATTTGCCTAGACATAAATACTGGAGTTTCCTGATGTTCTAAACCAAGGGCAATGGCACTGATATTCCTTGCTGACTGCTGATTGCACTGTCAGTTGTAATATGCATTTTAAATGGTAGCTTCTCTCTTTCTTCTGTTGATATCAGTTGATATTTGGATGGTTCTAGGCCTTCTAAAGTACTCTTTTATGGCTGAATTAAAGGCATCAAAAATCATTGCAATTACCACTATTAGCATATACTTGCCAGCATTAAAAACATAAGAGAAAAGAAAATGGTACAATGGATTTTGTCTGCGTTTGACATACATCAGTACGATTCTAGCTAACAAATTAGGTAATTGTGATGCTTCTGCATTCATGTCTTGGTCAGTGAATCCATGGACTCCACAGTGGATTATCCTGGGAAACATCTGGTTGCTGGGGCAGAAAAAAATCAAAACCATATAATGCAGCCCTTTGAAGGGGGGAAAATTTGTTCTAAGGAATGAAAACTTGTTGTTTCCAATCCAAAATAATTTCTTACTAGGATGATGCAGTTTCTTCTTGGGGCAGCTGGCAGTTTGTGTTTAATTGTCAGAAGACTTCAGTTATTTGGGCTTTTGCATTAAGTTTCCTGTTCTTGGGATAGTTCTGCATGACAGTGGCTGGAGAAACAAATAGTGTTTGAGTAGATTTCCAAGTAAACCACAAGAGCTATTTGCAATTCAGTGTTGCTGTGTTTTGAAAGGGTTGAAGATTTTACAGTCTTTTATTGTGACTAAGTATTATATAATCAGATAATACACTCCAGTGAAATAAAAATTTTATCCTGGAAAGTTTTACAGTAACAGGTATGGAGACCTATTTTTTTTAATGTATGTCTGTTTGTAAATGATATATCTTATTGTACACAATTTTTCTTTAAGGCATCAGGTGCATTTATTATTGTGGAGCAGTAGGTGGAAAGCTGTTTTGGTTCCTAGAAATTCAAATGAAAGAAGTCCGTGTCATGAAGAAAGATATGCCTGAATAGGGCATGTGTAGGGAGAAAAGCCTTTGTCAAACACTAGTGTGTTCTGAATAGTTTTTAGGTTGGATGCATAAGATGTTTTCCTTAATTCTGCTGTATTTTCAGATCATGCTAATTCTTTGCTTATTTTGCTCATTTTGCATTTTTCATTCCTTTTCCTCCTTTCCCTTATGTTTTAATCCTACCCCATTTTTTCACATGACAGGAAAAAGCCAGATCACATCAGGTACCAACCAGCTTCTTTTATACCTTCCCAATGTTTCTTTGGCACGCAAAAAGCTCTTAATTAACCCTGCATTTAATTTTGATTACTTGCAATGGATGTGTAAGTGGCTCAGTCTAAGAAAATAACAGAAGGATTCTGCCTGGGATGCCAGTATATCTGATGCTCAACACCTTTAAAAGAATTAGAAAGATTGAGCTAGTTTTAGCTAAAAAGGAATTAAAGCAAAGTTTCTGCACTCAAACTTCTGAGCATACAAGATCAGTGTTTTGACTTTTTCCAGCTGAAGTTGGTGAGATTTTTCTCATCTACTGCATTGGAAATAGAGACATAACTTTTAAATGTTGTGCATTCTTAATCATTCTGTTTTATTTGTGTGCTGATGGCAACTAGTGAAGATTGTTTCCGTTTGAAAATTAATCAAGCATGATTCAATTTTTATGTAAAACTCAAATTTTGTATTTTTTATTACTATTTTCAGTTCTCAGAAATTGGAAATGTTTCTCAATTAATTTTGTATTGTTTCCTATTTAACAAATAGGTTTTTGAATTGTGTAGGTATAAATGATGGAAAACGCTTTGTTTCTAAACCCAAACAGCTATATTCAAGCACTACCCAGTGGGACAGTGCAAATTACTTTTAAGATTTTCTCCAGTATGTTTTCTCCTTCACCATGCTTCTCCCCTATATTTGACAGAATGACGCATTCAAAGAAACTTTGATAATGCTCAGTACTTACTGCACACATGTTGCCTAAAGGTTTATGAACATGAATTCTAAGAACAGCATAGATATGGTAAACCCTACAATAGCACCTTTGGTGTTTATATTGTACCTCAGTTTCCTGGCTGCTACTGCTGTAGACCCCCAGCAGTCTCTTTCCTACAGTGATGAATAGAGTTTATTGATGATACTTCATTAATGTGAAATAATTCATATAAGGTTTTGGCCTGAATAAAACTGCTCTGGGTGCTGTCATTAGAGAGGAAGCTGCCACTTTTATTTTTTCAAGCATAGAATAAAGTGTATTAACTTCAATTTCCATTGACATCTACTTCAAAAGTGTGATCTACAAGTTATACTACAGTCTAAATTGTTGATTTTGTTTAATAAGTTTCTTTAAAAAAAATACCAAAACCCCCACACTTTTTGGCTGGACTGGGAAGTTCTCTTAAACAGATTTAATTTCTCTACTAGGAAAAAAAAGGGGGCTGGAATACTTTGAAAACTTCTAGACTAGGCTTTAAAGATGACACAAATTTGGTTTACAATTTGTGTGGTCACTTGAGTTGATCACATTGGAGCTTATTTACTTTAGTAACTCACAAAATACTTAGCTGTAGAACAAATGAAGCATTGCATTAATGAAGTTAATTACACTAACTAAGGCCAATTTTAGGGATTTGCTCCATTGAATGTTATCTTGGGCAAGGCTGCCCCCCCCATCACTCAGGCACTGTTTTTCATGTTTTACTATTTGGTGTTATGTTCAAAAAAAAAAAGCTCATTTAAAAGCTTGAGTTTATTTTCCTCTTCTAGTCTGCTTTTGTTGAGTAGTTGAGCAACCAATATTTAAATATTAGCAATAATCTGCCTTATGCTCATATTTGAGGCTTAGTTACTGCATCTGTTTGGTTTTTTTAAATAGATGGTAAAGGTGATGCCTTTCAAATAGCAGTGATCAAAACTGCTGCTGTTAATTGGAAAAGTAGTTAATTTTTTGCATTATTCTGTTCAATTATCTTAACCCAAAAGATGACTGTTATTATGTTGGAAATCCGGTATTAAAAGAAGATCCTGTTGTTGCTTTTTAAATTAAATATATCTGCACAACATTTGAAAAGATTAACTGTTAAAAGGTAGAATCTCATCTGTCCACTAAGTACTAACTTTTCTAACAAATACTAGATTTTCTGATTTGCATCTAACTTTTTTGTATATCTTAATTTTTCTTAATCTTTGTGTGCTTCTTTTCATGAATGGCTTATGGTGGTTGAATAAATATATGGAGCCCTTTTGTTACTGATTGTAGTAAACTGTAGCTTGAAGTTCAACAGCCTGTGGAGAATAACAAGATATGTTGCAATACAAAATTTGTTATGTTGTTACCATTCAAACTAAGTGGCAGTGCAGAAAAAAGTGATGTATGGTCTAAGTGGGGCATTTGAGATAATTGAGGAATTATTCTGTGATAAACACAGGTTCATGTAAGCCTGAATGAAACAAAAAAAAATGTAAATTTCACTGCAGGACTGAATTGAGTTATATTTTCCCTTCATTTTTGTCAGTTCAAAACCAGTGATGATTGGTTAGCTTTTATTTGTGCATCCCCAGAAGAGCTAGAAAGAGATGGTTATATTTGCTGTTTTTTCATATTATTGGTCTGATAAAACACAGTTGTTAGATCTGAGGCAATCATTATTTTTTCCAAAATATGAATTACCTTTCTGTTCCCTATGAATTGTATCCTATCTGAACTGTGAGTTTGACAAGGAAAGATACAGTTCGGAGGAGTTTCAGTGTTACGTTATCTTTCAGATTTTATAGGATGCCTTCGTTAAATCTTTTATTTGATATTTTTCTACAAAGCTGAGACTTAAGTTAGGATCCTACTTAAAAGGTTTTCCTTGATTTTGCTTTGGTTTTGTATGCAATCTTATTATTTCAGCATCTAAAATTTAAGAAATGCCAAATATATAGACACATTAAACCTACATGGGATAGCAACACTTGTAGTATTTTAGTGCCTTAGTAAGTTATTTCTTAGTTCTACTCTCAAAAATATTTCAGGAGTGAGTAGTTTACGTAGCTTAAGTATTTTTGTTATTCAGACTATGTCAATTTATGTTACCAAACAACTGTGTAAAATTGTAACTTGCTGCTAAAATACAGAAGTAAATGTTCTTTGAAATGAAAATGTTTTGTGTGATAGCTTAACTAATGTTGTCATAACATTAATGTGTTTGTTTAGGACTTAAATTATTTGAACCTTGCTTTCTTTTCTGTTTTGTCTCTGCTTTCCCTGTGTTCATTATTCTCACAAAATACTTGCCAAAACTGACTGCAGCATTACTTTTGTGAATTACTTTTATGCAGTCTCTCTGTAGACTGTACGTTAGCACATTTTGGTCAAATAAGCACTGTAAAGTCAGTTATGTATTCTCTGGATGTCTCTTTATTTGAATAGGCGCTGGTTCTCAATACAAAATAACCAACTTGTGTACCAGAAGAAATTTAAGGTAGGTATCAAAAACTGGCAGGGGATAGTTTGGGGTGTGGGTGATGGTTTTTCTGATTGATCAGGGGAAGAAGAAACAGTGCTGACATCAGCATCCTGTGTGGTCTTGAACAACCTACTGCACTTTCTAAACTTGTTTCTCCCTTTGTAAAATGAGACCAATAGCTACACTTACAGATTCTGCAATTCCTGCACAGTGACTTGTAACACAACTTTATTTTCTGTGTGTTTTGTTACCTTGTTGCAGAAAAGTTTATGAAGAGCCTTGAAAGTTGTTGGTCCCAAAAGGCTTGTGCACACTTGCTGGCAGCAAAATATTCCATGCTCTTCTTTGAGCTGTTGTGTTTAACTCTTTCAGGACTTGCTCCCTCCAGTTACTTGCTGAGTTCACATACCCAATTTAGCACTTGAGAAGAGGGGGAAAAATTGCATGAAAGCATTTGTTATGAAACATTCAGGGATGCTATGTAAATGTATTTAATACTGAAAATG